TACTGTTTAGACATTGAACTGTTATTATCCGACCTCTCCTTAAATTTTTAACTATATCTAGAGTTATAAAACTCCATTTTAAGCAAGACTAGTTTCGTTGGAAAGTTAAGACATGAAGTTATGAGTTCTTTAAAGGAAAGAGAATCTAGTTCTACCCAAAGACAGTTAAAATTGATTGTTAATAAACATTGAATTATTACTGTCCAATTATTATTGTCTTGATATCGAATCTATGAGTTCTTTAAAGGAAAGAGAATCCAGTTCTACCCAAAGACAGTTAAAATTGATCGTTAATAAACATTGAATTATTATTGTCCAATTATTATTGTCTTGATATCGAATTGTTATTGTCCGACCTCTTCTCAGATTTTTTATTATATATAGAGTTATAAAACTCCGTTTTAAGCAAGATTGCTCTTATTGGAAAGTTAAGACACGAGGCTACAAGTTTTTTGAAAGAAGGAGAATCCAGTTCTGCCTTCAAGATAGTCAAAATTGCTCATCAACAAACCAGACCTATTGCCCTACAGGGTCTGTCATGACCCAGTCTCGATTGGTGACCCATAGCTGAAGTTCTATAAATTCAAATTGAGTAAGACCAATTTTTTTAGTTAGTCAATATCTAAAACTATAATTTATATGAAGGAACCTGAACCTAATTCCTTCATCCTCTTACTCGAAATCTCTTTGAAAGTCAAGAGACAAAACTATCTGGGTTCGTCAACCTTTCCATTTACACATAACACATGAAGTTATTAAATTTTAGCAACTAATATTTTTTTTTAAATTCAAGTATAAGAACCCTAATTTATAATTCAACATCCAGGCATCAATTCATAATTGACTTTGAAATGACTCATCAAACCATGTTTAAAACACCTTATCCGGTAAGAAATCGAGGTTTTGATCTTCAACTCCCTCCTTTCCTTTCTAATGACATCCGACCCTCTCCTCTTCTCTTCTTGTTCAAATTTTCTGGTTAATTCATTGCCCACAAGTGTTTATTCTACCTATAACCTTTAATCTTGCATTGGTTCTTGAAATTTTGGTGTTTCTCTCTTGATTTGTAAAAATAGATAAAAAAAAAACTTCATCTTTTCTTTTCTTATGTTTGCTGTAAATTTTTTGTGAGAAGAGAGGTATTTATGCTCTATAATTATTCTCATTTGCATTTAGGCCTCATTTTTTTTAAATGTATTATTTTTCCCCCCACATCTTTTTTTCTTCTTTTTATAATGAAGTTATACCTCTTTTCTTTTCTTATAATTTCACCCCATAAATTTTAGTTTAGTTTTTTTTTTTTAATTTAATCCAACCTTGATTTTTCCTGGGGTTTACAAAGATAGTGATCCACTATTAACTATGAACCTTTAAATGGAATACTTGTACAAATTTCTCGAGCAAGTTCAAAAAATGATAAAATATTGTAAATTGACTTTTGATTTTGCCAACAATATGCCACACTAAAATTACCTATAATAATCTTATGGGTTAGTCCTTATTGTAAATTCATTAAAACTAACACTAATAGGAGTTCCTTGGGAATTCCTAAAATAGTTAGGTTGAGAGGTGTTCTATGAGTTCATTTGTGGCTTGTGAACTTTAACAGAATCAATATTAATTACTCACTTTTTAGCTTTTAATAGGATCAATATAGTTATTGTTATAAAATTACAAGTCATTTGTTTCATAGGATGTTGAATATTTAATGGTCATTCTTGAATCTAATTCACAAAAAGTGATTCACGCTATCATGAATTCTAAAGGTCTATTAATTTCTTGCTATTCTATTCTTGGTGATATTAATGTTCTTAGGTATTGTTTGGTTATTATCTCGAGAAAAGAATTATTTTATATTTTTGTCTCTATTTATCCAACCAAACATGCTTATGTCATTTTTATATATGTCTCTTATATCTTAAAATACTAACTGAACACAACCTTACCTATGATATGTTATGGGTGGGGTTTTAAGCTGATTTTTAACAGAAAAGGAGAAAAATAAGAAGAATATGCTAGTATCAAGGATGAGAAAAAAAAAACCAAACAAATGATTAAACTAAGAAAATAAAAAAATAACCAAAAAAATTAAACCAAGAAAAAAACTGAATGAACTGATAAGAAAATTTTAAAAAATTTAGTTTAATTGGATTTTGGTTTTAGAAATCTAAAACTAAAAAAACTAGATCGAACCAAACTGGTTCAACCTAAACTAAACCTAGTATAAAAGAAAAACAAGTATAAAAATCTCAAACCCTACCTCTTTAGCAATTAGAAGCTGCCCCTCTTCTTTTGCTCTTCTAATCTCCCTTTAAACTTCTTCTTTTTTTATTTTCAAGAATGCATAACCTTTCGCAAACACTTTTGGATCTTATTCTATGTTTCAAAAGTATATGATGTATGAACTTATTACTGCTCCCATGGTTACTATCATCATAATATGTGTTACCATTCAAAGGTGTCATCTAATGCTATTAGGTTGTTTAAAAAATCTGTATTAGTTAGTGCATTGAATACCAACTAACATTTTGTTTACTTTTATCTCCAAATAGGTATAGGGACAATTTGCTCGATTTTTTTTTTTGATTTGGTCACCCTTATTCTTACTAATGCGCTAATTAGCCTATACTTTTATTCACTGGTCAGCTAGAGGATGAAGCATAGGGGGTTCATAAAATTGAACAATAGATTTCTCACAAGTCACAATGGATTTATCACTTCTCTCTCCATAGGAATTTATGTGCAAGGCTAGTAAGAGAGAGAAAAAATCAAATATCTAAGTTAAATTTATTTGAACTCATAAAAAAAACCGAACTGAAATAAATTTAGTTTGAAATGAAAAAAACCGAACTAAACTAACAAAGGTCAGCTTGAACTAGTTTTTGGTTTAGTTTGATTCAAAACCTTGAAAAAACATAAATTTGATTTGATTGTTTATTTTGATCCAAAACCGAACAAAAAATAATTAGCCCTGACTAGTATCATGAACACATTTTCTTGCATCATAAAGAAATCTAATTGAAAAATAAAAAGATGCTATGTATATTTAAAAATTATATGAATTAATAAATCATGCACTAACTAAAGGTTAAAACAAGAAGATAAAAGATAGATGCATGCAATGATTTTTAACCTCGTGACATGTGATGTTTTTTATTTTTTTATCTATTTAATTATCTAGTAATAAAAATAGAGTTTCATCATAAATATAGTAATTTAAATATTATAGAAAAATGTAATTCTTAGTATAATATTTTTATTAATATATTTTTTTAACAAAAAAATATAACTTTCATTGTTATGTTACATGAAAACTATAAGAAATTAAAATTAATATCCAGAAATATTATACCATAATATCTCTTTAATCCAAATCTCCTTCCCTTATTAATTTATTATTCTTTTACAAAATATTTTTTATCACAATTTTTGTTTCTTAAACAAAAAATTATCATCATCAAAGCAAGTTTTATAAAATAAAATAATAAATTGATGATTTTGATATGAATATATTCAGAAAATAAAAATAATAATGTTGAGAAAAGTCATATGAAAAATTTACAATAAAAAAATTTAAAAATAAATTTTTTACCTGAATTTTAAAAAAAATATGGATATTAAGTGCATACATAATTATTTTGAAAAAAAGTGTTAATATCACCATGGAGGATGCTAGTATTATTTCAAAACAATGGCTTTACGTGGATTGTTGTCTAAATATCATTTAAATAAATTTATTTAAAAGTAATTCAATTACAAAAGGTAAAAAACAATGAGATTTTAAAAAATAAAATAAAATAACACATCATTTATCATTTTTTTTTTGTCATTGGAGTAGGGTTCAAGTTTTTGAATCTCAAAAACTCATATATCAACATTTTTTTCATCAAAAAAACATTATAATGGACATCCCATTAACTTTTATAATTATGTTTTTTATAATAAAACACATTTTAATTGACCTAGAATTTATAATCAGATAAAATTAAAAAAAAAAATTAAAATCTAATTTTTTTTTCAACATCATAAAAAGTGGAAACCATCTTCATTAAGTTTCATATTAAAGTTATTGGTAGCTAAAATCTGATTACACAAAAGCTTTCTCTATCTTAATTTTCTCTAATCGTTTTCTCTTTTAATTTTTGGGACATAAATGAAAAATCTAAAATTAGAAGGTACCAAATGTAAGCAAAAAATAAAAAATAAAAAACTAAGATTAAAATATAGATTTTTGCATCTTTTAAACAATAAATAGTTAAAAGAGATTGTCATTTTTGTTCGATGTTAATTTTGATTTTTTATTTTAAAATAATCTCAAAATCTTCCATGAAAAACTCAAGATGCCATTTAATATTGAGACAACCCACAACAGTCAAGAATTATAAAAAATTAAATTAAAGAAAAACGTTTGATGACCAAAACAGAACGAAATCAGAATTCATGGAAATGAGGCAAAAAAACGTAAAATAAATAATTCTATAAATAATAATAAAAAATAAGATGATGAATAGAAAGCGTACACCACCTATTTTATTTGTTTTTTAATTAATGTCAATATATTCGCAAAGCATTTGGCTAAATGATATTATTGATATTGCTTTCATGCGAATGTAACCGAGGAAAAAAAATGAAAAAAAAATGAAACGCATCACATGAATTGCATTTAGAATATAATAATTGTTTTATAAACTTTACTCATTAAAAAAAAAATAATGTAACATAACAATCACTACTTTCATTAATGTCTAGAAAATAATAATAATAATAACAATAATAATAATAATAATAATAATTTATCCTAAATTTCACAAGGATTACATGTGTCCAATGCCCATGCCAAAAACCACCCCCTCATGTAAAAAATTCAGAGAATGCACATTCTCTCCATGTTTTTATCAGTGTCCACGTGCTTTTCACTCATGTCACGTGACACAAAACTTAACAACCTCCCTCTCCTCCCAAGCCTTGGTTTGCCCCTCTCCTCCTTTCCCACTATAAGTTATAGCACTGAAACAGACCACTCTCATGGAAAATGTCACGCGCTTAAAACCCAAGCTCTAACTAAACCCCCGCCTCTAAAACCCTAACAAGATTCTCCTACCTTTCTCCCTCATCACTAAAACGATGAACCAAAACGACGGCGAACCGGCTGAAGAAGAATGCCTCCCCAAACCCGAAACTTTACAAACCCTAACTGCTACCCATTTATCCAGTTCAATCCCGAACCTCTCCGCCTCCTCTCGCGCGATTCCGTCGAACAAAGACTTCCATTTCTACTACAACTTCGATGAATTCAAGGTCCCGATTCAGGAAATCGCAGCGAAATCTCAGTCGCTACTCGAATCAATCGGGTCTTCCTCTTCAAATGATTTATTCAAAGAGAAATTACAGTTCCCTAGCGATGTCGACATCGACGAGGCTTATGATTGGTTGGTGAATGTAAACGACGAGATTTTTGAGCGTTTTGATACTTCAATTGACGAATTCAAGAGAGTCCGAGAGGAAACGGGTCGGGTTGTGGGCGTGGATAATGAGGATGGGTTTCAATTGGTGCTTGGGAAGAAGAATAAGAAGTTAATGAAGGATGCGTTGAATGATGACTCGGCGAGTTGTGCTGGTGTTAAGTCAGGAGTGAAAGTGGCGGATAACAAGCAGGGGATTTTGGGAAATAAGGCAAAGGTCCCGTTTCATATACCTACGATAAGAAGGCCGCAAGAGGAGCATAATATTTTGGTTAATAATTCGAATAGGGGTTTTGAGCATGTTTGGTTGGAGAGAAGCGAAGATGGGTCGAGGGCTATTCATCCACTGGTTAGTGATTTACACATTTTTAGATTTCTAAATTGTGTTATAGGGTTTGATTCACATTGTTAATCTTCTTTTTCACGGTCATTATTATATTTGTAATGTTAGACTTCTGTAAAGCATGCATTCAGAATTGTGTATCTTTAAGGCTTTTCTCAAGTATTATTGACTAAAAATGTTACCAATTACTATATAATGTATGGCAGGGTTAACCCTTGTGGTGGTGAGTAGTCAATTGGATAGTAATTGTAAGGAAAGGCTGAAGGGCTGAAGTGTTAAAAATTAATTTAGATAAATTCATATTTTTGAGCAGTCTGTTGATTTTATTTGGTAAAAATTGTGCAATGTGGCGAGCATCTGCATGCATGGTTGAAGAAGTGAAAAAATCCACTCCCTCTTTCAGCAAATTTTCTAATCTAATGGTTCTTCTTTTACAAATGTTTTGGGAAGTTAATTTGATCTCTATGGTTGTTTCCTTATCAGGCACATTGAATGACTTCTGATCAGTTAGCATCTCTAAATATTTTGATTACTATATAAAATGTAATCTTTGTATCATATCTGTATTCAAAGAAGTTTTATTGATCTTTACCATCATAAGCATCTCTTGCTGCATTCTTTACCAATGTTATCCAGATTGCTTTTTGGATCACACAATTCTACACCTTTGCATTCCAAAACTCACCCGACAATTTTACCCTCTAAAATATTGTACTAGAATGAGAACAGTAATTGAAACACCAAACTCTTTAAAATCTCTGGCAGTGCATTAACTTATTCTCGTTATATTCTCAATTATTTGGTAATTGAGCTTTGGATATGTGACCAAATGGTTTGAAAAACTTCAACACTGAAGAAATGTCTTTTCATGGGCTTGATTTGATTATGGACCTAACCAAGTGTTAATTTGATGACCTTGATCAATAACTTATCTTATATATAATAACTGTGTTTTATTAACCAGCTGATTTTTCTACAAAAATTCTCTTTATATGTGACTGAATATTAAGGAATACTGGAAATCAGTAGTTTTAATATTCATAAAAATATAGATCAAAAGTGTGGACATAAAACTCAAAGACGGGATGGGTGAGGGAAGGATGGGGTTGCACATTTTAACTTATTCTAGTTATATTTATATTTTTAAAACATAATTTTAGTAGTATGTAAAATTTTTCAGTATTTATGATTTGATATTTTAGACACTCCATCAGGATGGGTGAGGGAAGGATGGGGTTGCACATTTTAACTTATTCTAGTTATATTTATATTTTTAAAACATAATTTTAGTAGTATGTAAAATTTTTCAGTATTTATGATTTGATATTTTAGACACTCCATCAAGCCTTCTTAAGAAAGTAATTTGAACAACCTTGATCTTTACCTCAGGTAGCTCTGAACACCTTAAATATCTAGCTTTTATTTTTAGTTCTTTACAATTATTTGATGTTACTATTTCCCGTAAAACGATTCCTGAGCTGCAGATATAGTGAATGAAGTTAATTTTATTTGATTTACCTGAAAGTCACTCTAATCTGTTCAATAATTACCTCTACCTTTTCTCCACTTTCCTCTTTTTGCTTGGAAATAGTTCCCAGTTGTTTCCTCAGGATTCATTTGTTACTTTACTTTCTAGGTTCTGAACTGCCCCCCATGAGATCTGTTGGGTGCATTGCTTACAAATTGACCTGGCTTTTCTTATAACATGCATAAGAGCAGCATACCTTCTAATTTGCTTATTTGGCAATATTCTGTGCCAGAAGGTTTTAATGTCCTTGAAAGGTAATTTAAATGACTGGGAAACCTTTCCTTTGACAGGAGCTGGGTTCTTGTATTTCCCTCCCAGCCTGAGCAATCTTGATTGAGGGATGTGAAGCAATGCTGAATCACCCATAGGTTTTCATCACATCTAGAATTCATAGCTAAGACAGATGCTGACTGTTCTATTCATGAATGAGCTATTTGTTTGCCTTATCCATTTACTTAATCAGGTGGCCTTCAGATTATGTGTGTGCTATGCATGGTTATGTATCAATTTGTAATGGATTCTATTTATCCAACAGAATATATGTTCATGTTACATCATTGACGATGTTTTGGTACATCATAAGGGTTTGAGAGGCTGTTGGTTGTATTTGTTTATATATTGATGCTGTCTGGAATTTCTTTAACTTTGTGATATGGTTTGGACCTAGCTATTCATTTGTTATTCTCATTCCACATCAGTAGCTTTTTGCTTACTTCATTCTTGTATTTTTTGGTTATGATTTCTGAAGATAGAAGACTCTAATTAGCTTCTTATTATTCCTCTCTCATGTGTATAGGAAAAGCTCTCTGTTCTTGATTTGGTGGATAAAAGAATTGGGGATGTTGAGCCTGCGCCACCTCTTCCAACAGAGAGTACTCCATTTAAGCTTGTGGAAGAAGTCAAGGATTTGAAGGAGTTGGCAGCTAAATTGCGTGGTGTAAATGAATTTGCGGTAAAAACTGAGTATTTCAATTGTCATTATTAGTTATAACCTTTGAATAACTAAACTAGAAGTTCTATGAATGCCATTTTGTTTCTTTCTTGAGTCCTCAAATGCACAACCTCGTGTTACAGTATTGCTGCTTTCCTCCTGTGATTACTTTTTTTGTTATCATAAAATTTTGCAATCACTCTTGAAGGTCCAATTAAAGGGCATAACTTTATATAGGATTACCTGTAAACTAACTTCAGTCATAGATGATGGCTTCATCTAATTTTTTTGTATGTCCTACATGCCAGTTCAATGTTAACGTTTGCTTCTTTGTTTGTTTACAAATTGCGGAGTATGACCTTTTTTGATCCAATGGCTAGGTTGATTTGGAGCACAATCAGTATCGATCTTTTCAAGGATTGACATGCTTGATGCAAATTTCAACTAGAACCGAGGATTTTATTGTTGATACATTAAAACTTCGAATACATGTTGGCCCATATCTTAGGGAAGTTTTCAAGGATCCTGCCAAGAGAAAGGTCTGGTATTGAATTTCTGCTTTCCATTTCCCTTGCTCCCTCCCTCTCTTTTATGTCAGGTTTGTCATATTTGTGATAGAATTTAATTTAACTAGGTCATGCATGGAGCAGATCGAGACATTGTGTGGCTTCAACGTGACTTTGGCATATATATCTGCAATCTGTTTGACACTGGACAGGTCTTGTACTTTGACTTTTTTGCTTCTCTTAACCACTTGATTTTATTTTTCTTGCTACTCAACAGTTCTTTATTTCAACATCATATACAATGACTCTGTAAACTCATTTTTTCAATATTCTATCCAGAAAATCTGGTATCATAGTGGGTTCATAGCTAGTTGATGGTTTGGGTGTGCCAATCTGGTAGTATGTCGTGTGATCTTGTGCAATTTTATTTTTCTTATACACTCACAACCTTCTCTGTCATTAAAAAAATTAGGCCAGCCATTTTTTGTATTATTTAAAATGTAGTTTCTTGTTGTCAATATATGCCTCTATGAATCAAGCGAGGCTAGAGGTCTTAGTTGGGAAATTACAGATCAGAAGTCAGTTTTCTGTGTCCCTTTAAAACAAAGTGTCAGATCCTTATTCTTGCACATCTTAGCTGTTAGATTTACCAGAATTTAATTATTTTATATTTCATGACCTCAATAATTTCTTCTTTTCTCCTTTCTCGTTGAATGTTCATTAGCATTTAGTGCTTCTTTTGATTAAGACTTTTATTTCCATCCCTAGGCCTCGAGAGTGCTGAAGCTGGAAAGAAATAGTTTGGAGTACCTTCTGCATCACTTTTGTGGGGTCACTGCCAAGAAAGAGTAGGTCCCCATGTAATCACTTGATCTGCCACTGCTTATGGTTTGATTCATATAACTTTGCACATACTTGTATGCCTAAATTTACCAGAGTACAATGAGTGTTTGTGTTTTTTTTCTTTTTTCCAGTTTGGTGTGTGTAGTTGTTTTTATAAAAATCCCTGTAGAGTTGACTTGTCTGTTCATGGTAGATACCAGAATGCAGAATGGAGACTACGCCCTCTTCCTGATGAGATGATCAGGTGAATTCATATTTTAGAAATTGTCTTTTGTTTTCCAAACATGCCACCTAGAGCATATACTGGAGTCTTGAGCAACTATTTCATGCAATCAGTGAACAAGTGTGCTGGTGAATTCAGATTAATTAGATGAATCATTTTTCACATTTGGAGTCAATGATGGTTTTGGTTTTTGCTAGACTTGAAATATAATCAACTAGTTGGCATAGGTCGCTTTTCCAGCTATGCAATCAAGGATACTTTCCATGTGATGTTATGATACAAGAATGTGTGATATTGAAAGACTAATAAGTAGTGTGTTGCATGCAAAACCTCACCACCCCTCATAATGCCAGTGTAGTGTGACAGCTTTCCCACATACAAAGATTTTCTTGTTTTTGCTGTTTTATTCACTCATGTCAAGTGTATATTTCAATCAAAATTGATCAATTTGTATGTCTGATTTTCTATTATACCAGCCAAAAGTGTTCATCTGTTGATCTGTTCTTTTGATACACAGATATCTGTTTCTAGAACAGTGATGATTCTGTATTTGTTTATATATATATATATATATTGTTCAAGAAATTCTATTTAGATAATTGTAAATGTCAATTTTTCAATAGGAGAATGAGAAAATTGAAAAGGAAATCATGGAGAAAAAAATGGGAGAAATTTTAAGAAAAGGAATAGAGGTGCCGAAAACATGTTGGTTAAACTTTTCTATATATTAGAAAAAAAGGAAGAAAAAGACCAGTGGTGGTTGCTGGGACCACAAGTGAGTGGATATGGAAATGGAAGGAAATTTCACTCTTTGAAGAGTGAGATATTTCAGGCGTTTAATAACACATTGTTGGTATTTTATGAGAAAGTTCCATCTAGTGGTAAAAGTTTCTTTTGTAATAATCTTCCAGTTGTGTAAGCTTGTTCTTCATCATATACAATTTGTTTTCCGGAAACAGGATGAATTAGGACTTGCATGGTGCTCCGAAGTCTTTCAGTTTTCTCATATCTCTTAATGCTGTTTTATCATCGTTGTACATCTCTATTATTGATATTGGTTTAGGTAAATGTAGTCGATGTTAACTCTCTACAGTTATCTAATGGGTGAATTTTTTGGTGACAGATATGCCAGAGAAGATACCCACTATCTGCTGCATGTATATGATTTGATGAGGGCATTGTTACTCACAAAGCACAGTGACCATGATAATGGCGATCCACCATTGGTAGAGGTATAGTTTTGATAAAAACAACAGGCATTTTCTAGATTGTTCAACCATATGAAAGAATGAGACGGCCAAGACTGGGAGGATGGAATGTGACTATCATCTGTCCTTTCCTCAGTTTTGTGTGGGAGCTAGGTCTTCTATTTTGGTTGGTGTTATTCTTGCTTGGCGATATTTTTTGTATTTTTTTTATTCACATGTCTTTGGACAAGTGAAGATTCATACCAAAAATGGCACATTGCTAGAATTTCTGTAAAGTTGAGCATTGGATTTGACATCACTATTTTATTTGGTTACAAGTCCTTTAAAGCTGCAACCTTGATTTCTTCCATGTTATCTTTGATGGGAACTGGGAAGGCTTTCCTTCACCTGATTACTGGAGTCGATTATGATTTTAGAAATAGGTTATGGTCATTGTCGACTACAACATTACTATAACGAGTGAGTGATTGTTGATAACAGGTCTACAAACGCAGTTATGATGTATGCATGCAGTTGTATGAGAAGGAGCTTTTCAATGAAAATTCGTATCTCAATATGTATGGGTATGTTACAGACCATTTTACTTTAAGATAATATGTATCATCACATGAACTGCGTAATATTTTATACAGCAATGCTTTTTTTTTTTCCCTTCTTTTTCTGTAATTTGGCTGTTTCTGTGCCATTTCTTTCTTTGGTATTTACAATATCTTGAACATAATCCACCAGTGCTTAATTTCTATACTTTATTTCTGAGGTGCTGTTATGTCTTGATTTAGGTTGCCTAATGCCGGTTTCAATGCTCAGCAGCTTGCCATTGTTGCAGTAAGTAGTTGCCTTTTGTCATTTACTTAATTTGTCAAATTGAGTGAACTAACACTGCAATAGATACAACTTTGTTGCTGAGTTATTATGGACTCCTGTTTGGTTTAAACTTGGTTATTTTACCTACTTCATTTCTTTAATTTCCAGGGGCTTTACGAGTGGAGGGATGCCATTGCCCGTGCAGAAGATGAGAGCACGGGATATATATTGCCAAACAAAACTCTTCTTGAAATTGGTAAGAATCTTCTCAAATTTGTCATAACTTCAACTTAGTCTCTTTGCATTCTTATGGTAAATGTTGACTCTTAAATCTTCTTTTGTTTGGAAATGGTGAAAGCCAAGGAGATGCCTGTTACGCCTAGCAAATTACGTCGACTGCTGAAATCAAAGCACTCATATATTGAGCGGCACCTTAGTTCTGTTGTTAGCATCATTAGGCACTCCATGCAAACCTCTGCTGCTTTTGAAGCTGCTGTTCAACATTTAAAGGAGAGATGCATGGAAACAGTAAGACTTGCTGCACATATTTGATGATCTCCACATATATATCATAGAGGTGTCTCAGCACTGAATTTAGAATTTATTATGAATCTTAACCTACAAAGATGCCTAAATTATGAGTTCATGCTAGAAATGGATTTAATAGCTATTTAATTGAGGGCCATGTCCCCCTCCCTGGATGATGACAGGCTGAGGATTCAACCTATCTCGTGTGGTGTTGCTTTGACTACAGTTTTGAAGAACAAAACTGTAGATATTCTTTAAAAAAGAAAAAAAATAGTGGGTTTTGATGCTCTAGCCAAGGTACTGGGTCTTATGTGTTTAAAGTGAAGCGAACCTATTCACTTGAGATTAACAGAGTTGCACTCTAATTTGAAAAGTTGGGCAAGCAGAATGAGTCCAGGTCAATCTGAATTAACTGCATGGTTGGGCTTGTTTAATAACTGCTCGAAATTCTGATGGTCCTTGGATGTAAAGTTGTAATCATGTTTCCCATTAAGTTGGAGAGTTGCTTTTACTTTTTTCTCCCCTTAGTGCCCTGTTTATTTGATAACTGAAAGATATTTTTTTTGAAGGCCTCACAAAAAGATACAGAAGTTAATCATGGTTGTGAAAAAAAAAGCGTTCATGTTGGCAATGGAATGAATGGCAGTGTGGCTGCTGAAACTTCTGTGCAGCTGAATAGAGGGCTTCAGAAGCAGGGAAGCAGTATTGTTGAACTTGGCAAAGATGGGCAAGAAAGCTCTGCCAAGCATCATGGTGAAAATGGTGGAGTGAAGACTGGATCTAGTAGTTATATTTCAGATACATCTCCAGCAGCAAAGGTTGTAGATATTTGATTAGTAGATCGATATTTATCCTTGTTAGAGATCTTTAGACTAACATGTCCCCTTTTTCTGCTCAGGTTGCTGGAGCAACTGTTCAGATTCTAAAGAAGCCAACTGGTGCTTTTGGGGCCCTTCTCAGGGGTGCAGCAGCAAAGAGGAAACTTGGTACTGATAAAAAGGTGAACATTCTACCCTTGACTTTGCTTCTTCTTCAATAATCTAGACAGCGTTCACATAAGCCAGAACATGGTAATGGATCTTTCAATAGGGTGGTCTGCCTTGTGGTTGAGTTTGTGAGTATATTAATTTTGAAAGGCATTAAAATCAGTATCATACACACTAAATGGAAGGTGCATGAATGGAAATGTTCTTGCCCATCTCTATCTGTTATTTTTCTCTTTTCTTTTTCCCACTGAAGAGTTTTTTTTTGGTTGGGGTTCTGTTACAAATTCTTTTGAACTGTCCACATTATTTAGCATGTTCCTTTCATACCTTTGGTAATTCCACCACTACTCATTTATGCCAGGGAACACAATTTGGATGTCTTCACATGCTTAACTTATCAAGTCATCTTGATGCATCTAACTGCCTTTTATCCTTGTTTAAAACTCCTTTTATTCTATTTTTGACTTTTGGTTGACATTATTTTTACAAATATTTAGGTCGGGGAAGAGGTCAAGTTAGAAAAGATAAGATCTTCAGTGAACCTTCCATTCCTTTCTTTTATGCCCAGAAATGAACCTCCAAAACCAGTAGTCGAAGAGCCCATTGTTTCAGAAATTTCACATCCTGGAGAATCTTTGGCTGTCCCAGCTACTGTTTCTAGTTTGCAAGATATAATAATGTTGGATGATGATTCGGATATGGAACAAGACACTCTTATTGGAGAACCAGAGAGAGATGATACCAAGACCACAAATGTCAACAGGGATGACAAATCTTCAGGAACTGCTTTGGAAACAGACATAGTTGAGGAACCTGTTTCTCTGTGTGATTTGTCTACAAGTTCCCAAAAGCGCTTCCAATCCAGTAATCAAAATAGAGGAACTGCAGAAGGTAAGAAATCTGGAGAATCAAGTAGTGTTTTGAAGCTGAAGCCATTTGATTATACTGCTGCACTCAGATTTGGTGAAGGCCCGACAGAAAAGTTGGAAGTAGGGAATGACAAAAATCAGAGGGACGTGCGTGTTTCTGTGGGTAAGATAAAAAGTTCTCCAGGAGCCCCAGTACAAAAGGATGATGAGACAGGAGAATTTCGTGAAGGCAGAAGACGTCAGGCCTTTCCCGCAACTGGGAATAGGAGTGCAACATTCCGATGAGTGCGTTAGGAGTGTAGTTGTAGAAAACAGTTAAAGATAATATCTTGTCAACGCTCTGAAATTTAAAACAACTTTTCACGTTACCATCCAATGCAGGATCGCAGCATTTTCCTCTTATGGATTCCTCGGATCATAAGCACCTTGTGCATTGGTGACAGCTTGTGTTTTCATGGAATTCATTCCCACTGGTTGGTAGGCTTGTTATGCTATAGGTTATGTGTGGAAAAGGGATCAAGTTGGGTCGGCAGTGATGTTGGGGGAAGGCATGCTTGTGTTTGTTTGTGATTGCAGGGGGGATTGAACGGGAAGGTTGGAAGCATTTATCATAGCAGCAGTCCGTCCTCTCGTTGCAGTGGGAGACAGATGAATGGTTTCTGCTCAAGGCCTTGCAAAGCCGACGAAGGCTGAAGCTCATCACGTTTCTTCTAGATTTAGGAGGGGTGGAAAGGACCTTTGAAGAATCTTCGGAGACCGACTCAAAAAGGAGAGACTGGCTAGTGCCGATTCCATTATTTGCGTTTTAAAACTCTCTGAAGAGCATTTTTCTTGTCCGGCTAGACTGTTTTATGAAATTCCCCTTCTTTTACAATATTTGAAAGTCAACTATGAGCAGATGCACGTGAGTCTTAGGTATTAAGAGGCCTGGTGCTTGTTTTCGCTGCTAGTTGTCGATCAAAAGTATGTGAATGCTGTTATTTTTTTTTTTTTTTGAAACGAGAAGAAATAACTTAACTAGTATATCTGATTAAAATTAATCGTAAACCAGTTGCCTTGTTTAAATGGTGATTTGGTTTTTAAAAATGATCCATTGTTTTTAACTTTTAACCTCTAACTAGGTGCTTTAGCTCAAGAGCATGGGAATGGGAATGCGGGAATGCGGTGTGAATTATGTTTTTAAAAAATTTAATTTTTTTTTAATAAAATTTAATATATTTTGAATTGTATTAATGTCAGATAATTTTTTAAAAATAAAAAAATATTATTGATATGTATCAAAAAAATATTATTGATATATATTTTGATACGAAAAATTATTTAAAAAGTATTTATAATTACACTGCTAAATAAATTCTAAATCTAAAACTTTCAACAAGGATTAAGATGGGGTTTAGTGTTTTAATTGTAGTATCGAAATGTGAGTAGAATATTCAAAATTTTATTTTCTTAAAAAATTAATTTTTATTTACATGTTTTGGATTATTTTAATATGCTAATCTAAATATTAATTTAAAAAATAAAAATATTATTTTGAAATTAAAAGTACTTTGAAAAAAAATCACAATCAAGTTTTGTATGTTTTTGAATTTGTTATTTAAATTAATTTTTTTATATTTTAAAATTGTTTTGAAATATTGATGTTAAAAATAAATTTAAAAAAATTATTTTAATAAATTTTTAAATAAAAAGCATTTGAAAAAACTTTACTATCTCAAATTCTTCTTAAACTCTAAAAACCTTTTAAGAGGTGAAAGGAAAAGATGAAGACAAATGTTACTAACTTGGTTATCAAATGAAATTTAAAAGCATGATGGACACAACCATAATAAGTTAATTTAGTTTGGACAATGTCTTTATTTGTTTTTTTTTTTTTATTCATTTCTTAGTTGAGTCTTAATTAACCTCGGGTTGGAGTAAATATGAAACTAAATTGAAGAATTTATCAAAAAATTAGAGATAAAATTTAAGAAATAAATAAATCTTGAAAGGATAAAGTTGAAAAAACATAAGTATAAAGAAATAAAAAAAAAAAAAACAAAGCAAACCGAGTATCTTGAATCAAGGTTAATTTTTCCAACCTACAACTCATGCAATCTTAAACCTGGGTTTAACTAAGAAGCTCAAACTCAAGTTAAATGATAAAAAAAAAAGAGAGTTAAAATCTAATTAATTTTTTTTCAAAGTAAAATAAAAAAAGGATCAAATTTGACAAAAACATAAATGAAATCAAAAGTTGAGAATGACATTGAAAAAAAAACAGTTAATAAAAGAATTCAAAACAAAACAAATAACAATAAAAAGAATAGAGACTAAATATGAAAAATGAGAAAAATTTAAGGATGATGAAATTGAAAAAAATAAAATTTATAAATTATTTCAAATAAAACAAATAAAAATCAAAATAAAAAGAATTAAATTTGAAGGAAAAACAAATTGCTTAGAAAATTTAGAGGTTCAGAAATTAAAGAGACAAAAAAAAAAAAAGTTGTTGAAACCAAACCAGAAATTCTTATGCCACAAGCGCCACCTAAAAATAAAAGGTCGCCGAAATGATTCAAATGCTAACCCAAAAATCAATTTTTAGTGGTTAAACACCTTCTCATATACCACTCGAATAGCGTAAAGATGCTTCACATGGTAGCGGGTGAGTTGCATGCACTTAGATAATTTTTTTAAATAATATGTTTTTATTAAAAAACTAAATTACTCTCATTCAACTGGATTATAATAAAACAAATTCAAGATAAAAGTAAAAAAAAAAACCATAAATGTAACTTAAAGAGATTTTACTTTTAAAAATAATTTAGTTATTTTATTGGGTTATAAAAAGTGAAAAATAAAAAGCAAACTGAAGAGAGTATCTTGAACCAAGGTTAATTTTTTCAACTTACAACTCGTGCAATCTTAAACTTGGGTTTAACTAATAAACTCAAACTCAAGTTAATTTAATGTCAAATAATAAAAAAAAATGTTAAAATCTAATACAATTTTTTTCAAAGTAAAACAAAAAAAGAATCAAATTTGACATAAACATAAATGAAATCAAATGTTGAGAATGACATTGAAAAAAAAAAGTTAATAAAAGAATTCAAAACAAAACAAATAACAATAAATAGAATAGAGACTAAATATGAAAAATGAGAAAAATTTAAGGATAATGAAATTGAAAAAAATAAATTTTATAAATTATTTCAAATAAAATAAATAACAATCAAAATAAAAAGGATTAAATTTGAAGGCAAAACAAATTGCTTAGAAAATTTAGAGGTTCGGAAATTAAAGAGACAAAGAAAAAAGAAGAAAAGTTGTTGAAATCAAACTAGAGATTCTTATGCCACAAGAGCCACCTAGGGATAAAAGGATCGTCGAAATGATCCAAATGCTAACCCAAAAACCAACTTTTAGTGGTTAAACACCTCCTTATATACTGCTCGAATAGCGTAGAGGTGCTTCACATGGTAGCGGGTAAGTTGCATGCACTAGACAATTTTTTTAAATAATATTTTTTATTAAAAAACTAAATTACTCTCATTCAACTTGATTATAATAAAAAAAATTCAAGATAAAAGCAAAAAAAAAAAAAACCCATAAATGTAACTTAAAGAGATTTTACTTTTAAAAATAATTTAGTTATTTTATTGGGTTATAAAAAGTGAAAAATAAAAAAAAAATCCTGAACACTAGTTTAAAATTTTTTATTTTAATAATAATTTAGTTATTCAACGTGTTTAAAGATATGAAAAAGATAAATCCACCCCTCACTAATACCGATAAAAACTTCTGATAAAACCAAATTATCCCCATTAACAAGACTGTTATTTTTTTTCTGGAAAAATAAAATGATAACTACACTATTGCAGACTAGTAATCTATACCTAAAGATGCAGTCATTTTTTTATTTATCAAGCAAATTAGTATTACTTGAACGTCCAAAGGCACTTTATTTTTTTTTTCCATATTTCTAATTTTATTTTTCTCTTTAATTTTTTTTTTAATTTTTTTATACTAAAAGAAGAAATAAATTGATGAGACTATTTTTTAAATATTATATAAAATTTAGATAATGCTAATTTTTTTTCTATTTATGTTGGGTTGAATTTTCTTATTAAAATATTTTTGTTTTTTAGTTTTAAAAATACTTAAAAAAATTTATTTTTATTTTTTTTTTAATTCAAATTATTTCGTCTGTGTTTTGTGACGGATTAATAATTTTTTTTAAAATATAAAATTAAATATAAAAAATATTTTATTTATTTAAAGTCTGATGGCTATATAAAATTAAGAGATTTGAATCTGGCTGTGAAGCTAAACTTAATTGGCTTTGAAGAGAGATCCAATGTTAATTGAAGTTGTGGTGGATGTAAAAACGAGTGGATAAAGTAATGGTTAGGTGTGCATTCAGTTTGGCATAGGAGAGTGAATGGCGGGCTATAAAAGTTGACTCTATAGTTATAAAGTTACGAGTTTTAATTTTTAGGCTTGCTTTTATAGTAAAGGAATTTCTTTCTCTTTATTTTTTTCTTTTAAAATATTTTTAGTTTTAATTTTTTTAGGATATTGAATCTGGATGGCTGTTAGGATCTAGCTCCAAAACTAGACTTAAAATAATTAAAATATTCTTCATACTTTTCTTATTTGTTTTATATTTTTTTAAAAAATTATTATTGACCACTTCGAAGCATAACTAAACATGCTAGTAAAAATTCAAATCCTGATTATAACTGTTGCCTGGTTCAGAGGGCACAATGCAAAGCTCCGGATGTTCCTAACACTTACCATCTTCAACTTTCTCATTAGGTCAAGTGGTTGAAGAGCTCTTGCTTTCCATTTTGATAGATGTCTGTGTGTTGCAAAGCTAAGGAATTTGTACAAACAATGCAAAATCTTGTAAGATTGATTGGCAAGAAGGGGGGTTATTTACGCTTCTTTCAAAATCTTCATTATCTTTTTTTTTTTTTTAATGCAGTCAGAACAGAAGGTTACATGACTCAAAAGTCTCATTTAATTTTGCAGCAAAACAAATCAAAAGAGCTCATTGTTGAGATTGCTGCTTTTGTTCCCCCCCCACACCTCCTTGTACTGATTGTCGATTTTTGGATGGAGATGGGCTTCAGGTCTTCAATTTCATTTCTTGGTGAGATTTTATTATGTGCTTGCTATTCATTTAGGAAGCCTTTGATCTCTACTACCCTTCTTTGATTCCAAGTTTTGAACATTGCCCTTTCCCTCACTGACTGAACTCATCCATGGTCGACCGCTGCCAGACCCTCCGGCACTTCCCTCACTGTGATAACCGGAACTCGAGAGATTGCACAGCTAGTATCGAGAAGAGCATTGATGAGATGTTATACAGGAGGACGAATTAGCAGCAAAGCTAGCATGGGATATGGTAGAATAGTGGCAACAACTGCAGGTGGTAGGTAGTACGTAGCAGGTGAGCATGATTGGAAGCATCAGCAGCAGCATGAAGGCATAGCAGCAAGAGTTAAAGGTAGCAGCAGCAACAACAGTTAGTTAGACGTGTACAACAACTGCAGGTGGTAGGTAGTACGTAGCAGGTGAGCATGATTGGAAGCATCAGCAGCAAGAGTTAAAGGTAGCAGCAGCAACAACAGTTAGTTAGACGTGTAAAAGTAAGTTAGTTGTTAGTTAATACGTAGTTGGAAGGTAGCGAAATCTTGCATATAATAG